TATATATATATATATACATACATTCATTTCCTAAATTTGAGGAAGAATATTAAAACTTATACTTAAAAAGTTATCTTTGGAACAAAAAAAATTGGTTTAGCCTTGGCAATAGGAAATATATTTATATACTTAAAAAGTTATCTTTGGAAAAACAAATTGGTTTAGCCTTGGCAATAGGAAATATGAGCATTTCAGGAAAGGATGAGATTAATATGAAGTTCCATTCACATTAGATCTTTAAAGCTATTAAACGCATGGAAATTGGTGATGCATTTTCCTTCTGTATTTATATATATTTAATCCCCATAAATCCTAATCAAAATGTCCACCATACTATAAAGAGGTAAAAAAAGCATCTAGCCTTCATAAGCAATTTCTCCATCACAATCATTTTCTAAGTTAATACCAATTGAGAAGTGGTTTAAATGTATCAAATAAGTAGCTTTAGTTGTGGAATGGCATTAGATGCATCATTATTGATGATTCATGATCATACATATTGATTAAATTATAAGAAAGTTATTTATTTTATGAATAGACAGGTTGATTGAAAAATCATGTCTATATATGCGTACCACAAAGCCCACACACGTTTGTTTAAGCTCACCAATATACAATCTCTCCATATCTTATTTAACACACCTTATTTTCCAAACTTCCTGCTACGAACTCACTTTACACAAATAAGTGCGCCTAAAACTGATAAGCAACAATCATAAAAATTAAAGAGCTTTTTGAAATCTGAGAGCACAAAATGGGTAGATTAGTGTTGCTCGCCATGCTTCTTCTGAGAAGCAAAACTTGATCGTAAAGAGTGATTGGTAAACCTGGAAGGAGGAAATCAAAGTGAACATTTAACAGTAGGAAATTTGATTTAACAAATGAATGTTTTAGTAGTTGTAATGGGGCTTAACATTACAGTCAAACATTAAGATTAAATATGAATATAAACCAATGAATTAATCCAGTCATTCGGGTCAAATTTTAAAGGTAATGTACGTAATAGTTGTAATAGTTAAAGACAAATCACAAAACTAAAATTCTCTATAATTGTAGGGAAAACATATCTTTAACATAATTCCTAACATATTTATTTTGATTCTTGTCAAAGAAGTAACGAACCAAATTTGTATTTCAAGACAAATATTTACTACTATAATTTATTTGAGAACTTAGGACAATTTACTTTTTTTTTTACATCTATAAAGTGGAGGTAATAATGTGAAAACAAAAATATACGAGTTGAGGAAAACACAAACTGATCCAAAGAGAAATTCAGCTTTGACGAAACTGCTCATCTCTGCTCTACTGAATAAAGTGCACCGAGGCAAGTAAACTGTATAAATCATCAGACCGAATAAACATTAAAAAAATTGTACATTAATTCAAAAGTGATGTGTTTTTTTCTTGTGAGTTTATTTAAGAATCTTGTAGACTGGGAAAATTTCCAAAAAAAGAAGAAAAGAGATAAATAGTACATCCGTGAGCATGGGGAGGTTCCTCATCAAATTTTTTTTTAGCTTTATGTTTGTATATAAATTATTGACAATTTTTAATTAAGCTCCATACACATGCAAATATAATGTGAACATTACTTACTTTCCTTATATACCAAAATTTCATAGTCAACAACTAAAACTCAGGGAGGAAGATCATATGTTTTCCAAAAGCATCTATGATAATTTTGTGAAAGCTCTACTTCCATAATGTCAAATGACTGCAATTGTCATTAATGAATAAAATGCCAGACCCGAAGGATAACTCTAGAAGACGAATACACTAACCTCGTGGCAATTAAACAATTTGTGTCGTGTTATATTGGTGGTACTCAATTATAAGGGAGAATCATACAACTACGCACATTACCGGTCTCATTCCCCAATAGAGTGTTGTAAATGTCCGATGTCCTGGTTTAAAATTATACACAATACACAAAGCATGTAGATTTTCATTATTCCATTAGAAAAGAGGGTTGTAAATTTTAATTTATATAGAATTGCTATATGACCTAAGAAAAAATACATGGTTCAATATTTTTTTCGTGTTTTTATTGGGACGTAATTTATGTCAGACAACCTGGAAATTGAAGGTTATTACCACTCCTTAAAACTCAAAAATAGAGTGAAAGGAAACTAAGCCAGGGAAAAGGAAGAACTAATATTTGCTAAATTACCTAACAAAATATTAAACAAATTTGTGACTGAAACAAAATCTTAAGTTAAATCAAAGAGCAAGATTTTTCATCTCCGATCTTTTGATATCCAATTTGTTTGATAATTTGAAAGGGTTCTGCATTGGAGGATCACGAAGTGATTGGTTTTGATGAGTCAGCGGAAAAAGTGAGAAAGCGACTTGTTGAAGGATCAGAAGATCTAGAAGTTGCCTCTATTGTGGGTATGCCAGGTCTTGGCAAAACTACACTGGCAAGGAAAGTCTATCATGATCCTGTGATTTCATTTGAATTTTTCAAAAGAGTTTGGGTGTATGTCGGCCCGTCATATGTAGAGAAGGATATCTTTCTTAATATTCATAAAGGGTTGGAGTTGAGCAGTGAAGGAGTTCAAGATAAGAATGGGGAACAATTAGCTAAGGAAATACATGATTTTGTGATCAAAGGAGGTAGATATCTCATTGTCTTGGACGATGTGTGGGAGGCAAAAGCTGTGGATTTTGTCAAGACAGCTTTCCCAGACAAAAAAGGCCGCCACCGGATTCTGATGACCACTCGCGAAAAACAGGTGGCTACACCTGTCAGCGCATATCTACACGATCTGAAATTTTTGGAAGACCCAGAAAGTTTTGAGCTGTTGGAAAAGAGAGTCTTTGGCAAAAGAAAGAAGTTTCCGATTCAATTAGTAGGACACGGAGAGAAAATTTTAGAAAGCTGTAGTGGTGTACCTCTTGCAATAGTGGTGATTGCAGGAGTTTTAAGTAGTTGTAGTGAAGAAATCGAATGGCAATTGGTTGAGGAAAATGTGGGACAGTACCTTGTAAAAAAGGAAGACCCTAAAAGTTGCTTGAAATTTGTGGAAATGAGTTACAATCATTTGCCTCAAGATAAAAGGGCGTCCTTCTTGTATATTGGCGCCTTTCCTCGAGGCTTTGATATCCCTGCATGGAAATTGATTCGCTTGTGGATTGCTGAGGGTCTGATAAAGTCTAGCTTACGTGGCAGTGAAATCGAGGTGATTGCAGAGTATTACTTGAATGACATTGCCAATAGGAATTTAGTGATAGTGATGCAGAAGAGGTCTAATGGTCAAGTAAAAACATTTCGGGTACACGACATGGTGCATGAGTTCTGCAATGTGGAGGCTAAAAGGGTATGTCTTTTTCAACAACTATATCCCACTACTCCTAATCTGACCACTCCTTCTATACGTGATCCAGTTACTTCTCGTCGATTATGTATTAAATCCTCTATTCCACACAATTTTATCCCCGAACATAGAGATGCAGAACATGTTAGGTCTTTCTTATGTTTTTCGCCAAAAGGAATCGACGTATCAAATGTTGAGATCCAACTCCTCCCCAAAGCATTTCCACTCATCCGAGTCTGTGACATTCAATCCTTCATATTTAAATTCGTCCCCGAATTCTATATACTATTTCACATGAGGTATCTTGCTGTGTCAGGTGAATTCCAATCCCTTTCTCCATTATTTGGTAATTTCTGGAATTTACAAACCCTTATGCTTCATACAAATCAGTCCACCCTTGAGATAAAAGAAGGCATATGGAAAATGTTACAATTAAGGCATCTGCATACTAATAAACCTGTGAAACTGCCGCTGCCTTCAAACCCAATAAGCAAAAGTTCTTGCCTACAAACTCTTTCTAAGATTGCACCAGAAAGTTGCACGAGAAATGTGCTTGCAAAGGTTTGTAATCTCAAAAAATTGGGCATCGAAGGGAAATTGGAAGCTCTTCTTGGATTCGAAAGTTTTGAAGAGCTTAAGTGCCTGGAACGTCTGAAAATGTTGAATGATATTATGAGTCCAAAAATCCAGCTTCCTCAATTATTCTTCACATATCTACGAACTCTGAAGAAGTTAACTTTGTCAAGTACGAAGATTGATTGGAGTGAGGCAAAGGAGTTGGGAAAGTTGGAATCCCTTGAGGTCCTAAAGCTGAAAGACAATGCATGTATGGGGAAGTCCTGGAAACCAGAGGCAGGAAGTTTTCGCCTGCTCCAGGTCTTGTGGATTCACTTGACAGACTTGAAAACTTGGGACACATCAAATTGTCGCTTCGGAAGATTAAGGCACCTTGTTTTAATCAGCTGTTATAACCTTGAGGCTGTGCCACACGAGCTGGCTAATTCACCTTACCTTACAGAAATAAGGCTGCACAACACACAGAATGCAGAAAACTCTGCAAAAGAAATCAAAAGGAAGAAACTTGAGATGCAAGCTCCAGGAAACATTGAGTTCAATCTCGTTATATTCCCTCCTCAAGCTGATGCCAGTTGAACAAAGTGAAATCGAAGTTAAGGTCAGTGGATTTCATTGTCTTGAATGATCTTAAATCTTCATCATTATCTGTATTTGGTATAATGGAATTTCGTTTTCCTGTAAATGATAAAGTTATATTTTTCTTCATACCAAACACAACTTTGCAATCAATGAATTTGCATAATTAAATACTCCTATAATGCTTTCCCATTACGTTCACGAATGCACCTTGCACAAACAATTATTTAACAGTGTTGTTACTACACTAGATGCATAGAGTAATGTAAAAAACTTGGTGATTCGTCTCCAAACCACAAAGAGATGACTTAGCATAGAAAACTATCTGCAACACTTTGCCTCTCATATATTTTCTTTTACTTATGTGCCTCCTTTGCAGGATAGAATCAAGGCATGATGTTCCTGGGAACCTGGGTTCAGTTCCTCGGATAAACATGTTGTCTTTGTATCCATTCAAGCATTGTGATCAAAGTGAGAAATAATCTGTGTGGTTTTAGATGTGTTGAGTAAATGCGCTCTACTAGGGCCTGGGCCTTGAAACATGGTTCCGGTCATGTAGAGCGTTTCTTTTTCTTGTTAAATTGCCAGCTTTCAAGTTTGTTGCAGTTGTATTACTTCAATTCAGCATTTGTTTTCGAGTTCCTCGTTATATTATCGAGTTCACGGTCATGTAGAGCGTTTCTTTTTCTTGTTAAATTGCCAGCTTCAAGTTTGTTGCGGTTGTACTACTTAAATTCAGTATTTGTTTGTTTTAGATATGTTAAGTAAATGCGCTCTACTAGGGCCTGGGCTTGAAACAGCCTTCCTGGTTCTGTTTTCTGAGTTCCCGATCATGTAGAGCGTTTCTTTTTCTTGTTAAACTGCCAGCTTTCACGTTTGTTGCGGCTGTATTACTTCAATTCAATATTTGTTTGTTTTCAATATGTTGAGTAAATACGCTCTACTAGGGCCTGGGCTTGAAACAACCTTCCTTGTTCTGTTTTCGAGTTCCCGGTCATGTTTAGCATTTCTTTTTCTTGTTAAATTGCCAGCTTTTAAGTTTGTTGCGGTTGTATTACTTAAATTCAGTATTTGTTTGTTTTAGATATGTTGAGTAAATCCGCTCAACCTCGTTCTGTTTTCGAGTTCCAGGTCATGTTTAGCATTTCTTTTTCTTGTTAAATTGCCAGCTTTTATGTTTGTTGCAGTTGTATTACTTCAATTCAGTATTTGTTTGTTTGTCGTGTCTCTCTATGTTTTCTGCGCTGAAGATTGTATTACACTATATTGTTGAAAGGCATTTTATTTGCTACATCTTTACTCGCTTGTGTAACCTCTAATGCTTTCAGTTCCTTTTTTGTTTTGATGGTTTCAATCTCAAAAACCATAAATTCTTTTGATGATAACATACACTACACGCTCATCTGAGTAAGAGCCTGTTTGGCCAAACTTTTGGGAGGCTGAACGTACTTTTTTTTAATTATTAAAAAAGTATTTTTTAAAAATTTAATGTGTTTGACCAAAATGAAAAGTATTTTTGAGCAGCAATAGAACTAATTTTTCTGCGTTTGGGGAGAAGCTATAAATTTTAGCTTCTTCCAAAAAGTAAAAACAAAAGCAGAAAATTAATTTATTCAAGACTAAAATAACCTTACGACAAATTTATATTTTCTAATTTATCCCTCATTAATTTAATATTTTCTTTTTCTTTTCCTTTTTCTTTTTACTATACATATTTCTCTTTTTGTTTTAATCAAAAAATTTTATTCTCTTCTATTCCTAAGTAGAGATTGTAAATTTATATTGAATGATGTATTTTGTCATATTTAAATTATCATGTAAACAATAAGTAATTCAGACACTCAATGTTATTGTTTCGGAAACACTATATTTTATATTGATTGAAATTTTTAAATAATATTTTTACTTTATGCTTTCTATTTTAATTAAATTATTTTATAATAAATATTTAAATTTATTTATTTTTCTAAATAAAACTAATAGCAAATTGAACCTTTACTGTTCTTTTTCGCAATTTAATACTTAAAAATAATTATTTAAAAGATTGGTCAAACACAATGAGCTTTAAAAAGCATTACTCAAACGAATTGACCAAACACAAATTACTATTTTGCAAAAGAGCTTTTTCAAAAGGTACTTTTGAATAAAAACACTTATTAAAATAAGCAATTTTTGGTAGCTAGCCCAAATGGGCTCTAAGTCATTTAGGGCGCTTTTGGTATGGAGAAATGTATTATCCATAAATATTTTTTAATTTTTTCATATTTGGTTGGCTTCAATGTTTTGAAAAAAAATATTTTTGCTCATGAACTCATGCATTTTTCTCCAATTGGAAGAAAATATTTTTTTTTTCATTCACCAACCAAATATGAAAAATAGGTAATAAAGCCACTCATTCTCGAGGAAAATATTTTCCAATCCTTCATGCCAAACACACCCTTAAGTAAGCATATTATGGTGGAATACGAATATAAATAGTGGAAATAAATAGCTCTATTTTAAAAAGCTTTTTCGAAACTCGCCCGGGGACTCGCCCTGAGGCTCACACACGGGGCTTAGTTCCATGAGGCTTACGCCCCAAGCTCTCGACTGTTTGCCTTGAATATGTACAACGCTTGGGCTCGCTCAACAGTTCTTACGCAAATCATGCGTTGAATTCCTTAATTAGCTTTGTTTGCCCTCATATTTCTATAATAAATGAATGATAAAAGTTTTATTTATCTTTAGGAATATAAAATTGGGAGTAGCTTAAATAAAGAGCTTTGGTATTACATATTATTTAATTAAAAATCATGAGAGTAGATTTCATTTGAACATTTCTTTGGGAAATAGATAACAAAAATTGTATCTTCACTTGCCACTGGTCTTCATGTCATACTTCTATGTGTCACGACCCAAACCCAACTTGTCGTGATGGCGACTATCATGGTACTAGGCAAGCCGACTACGCAGATATTTACAACACTCTAAAGCTTTGAAACATACGGAAGGAGTTATAATTAAGGAAAACCTTTAAAAACCAGAGTAAGAAATCATAATTTAATACAGAATCTCTCCCAAAATAGGGGTGTCACCAAGTACATGAGCATCTATATAAAAACACAGTCTAATACTCCGTCTAGAAAATAAAAACTAGATCATAAAATAGAAGATCATGAGGGAGAGTCAAGGTCTGCGAACGCCAAGCAGCTACCTCGATAGTCTTCGATAATCCGAACTCCACAACTCAGCAACCGCCGTGACCGGAAGCACCTGGATCTGCACACGAGGTGCAGGGTATAACGTGAGTACAACCAACTCAATAAGTAATAAATCTAACATTTGGACTGAAAGGTAGTGGCGAACTCAACAGGTATAGTTCAATATAGAAATAACAGTACAGGAAGTTCAACATTTAAACTCAATTCAAGTAAAATAGATCAAATTCTAAATGATATGAGGAGCATGACCTCTCTACATCTACATGCCAATGCACATGCTATATGTGATAAACCACACTGAAAGTCTCGTATACTCACACTCTCAGANTATATATATATATATATATATATATATATATATATATATATATATATATATATATATATACCACGTCTGATAGTCAGTCACTCAGTACTGTATAAGGCCAATCCAGCCTAGGGGAAGATCCATCCCTCAATATAATCAACTGCACTCACTGGGGGTGTGTACAGACTACGGAGGGGCTCCTTCATCCCAAGCGCTATAATAAGCCAGATCCAGGCATAAATCAATAAATATGCTGCGGCGTGCATCCCGATCCCATAATTGTCACTCTCATTCAGGCCCTCGGCCTCACTCAGTCATCAATCTCTCCAGTCTCTCTGTCTCTCGGGCTCACAGTGTCGTGAAACTATCCCAATAGTACCAGCAATAACCTAAACATGATTTGTAGCATGATTGACAGCTCAATTATTTATCACATGATGAAAACACGCATATCAACAAGATAAATCCACTATACAGTTCCATGGAATTGACTTGGTCAAAGTTCTTACGGTGCACACACACACACCCGTCACTTGGCATGTGTGTCACCTCAACACCAATCATATAACACATAATTCAGGGTTTTGAACCCTCAGGGCCAAGTTTAGAAGTGTTACTTACCTCAATCCTAGCAAATCTCTACTCCAAAACACCCATGCCTGGCATGGGGAAAGTCACAAAACCCGAAAACTCATTCATCCACGAGTCCAACCATACCAAATTTATCAAAATCCGACACCAAATCATTACCCAAATCCCAAAATCAAACTCTCCAAATCTCTAGCCTCAAACTCCCAATTTACACCTTAAATACACATCAACTAGGTGGGAAAATCAATGGGGAAATAAGATTATTAATAAAAAATGAGCACAAGGGTCTTACCTCAAGAAACCCCTCGAAATTCCTCTCAAGAACCGCCAAAACCCGAGCTTAGAATGTTTAAAATGAAGCAAAATCGCGAACCCTTGTTTTTAAGTGTTCTGTCCAGCACTTCCGCTTCTGCAAAAACTAAGCCGCATCTGCGCAATCGCAGGTGCGGAATTCCCCATCGCACATGCGCCCCTCTCGCCGCACCTGCGGCCATGCAGGTGCGAAAAACTGCGACCACCTGAACACTCCCCTCCAAACTTGCATCTGCACAACTCAACCCGCATCTGTGAGTTCGCACCTGCGATCAAAGCTCCGCAGGTGCGGTTACACCAGCAGACTCCAGCTTCAGCAACCTCTCAAATTCTACTTTTGATCCATTAATCATCCGGAATCAACCCGAGGCCCCCGGGAACTCAACCAAACATACCAACATGTCCTAAAACCTCATACAAACTTAGTCGATCCCTCAAATCACATAAAAAAATATCAAAAATCAAGAACCACACCCCAATTCAAGCCTACTGAAACTAAGGAAATTGCAACTTCTACAAACGACGCCGAAACCTATCAAATCACATTCGATTGACCCCAAATTTTGCACACAAGTCACATTTAACACTACGAACCTACTCCAACTCCCGAAATTACAATCCGACACCGATATAAAAAATTTCACTCCCGGCCAAATTTTCCAAAAATCTATTTTTTGCCATTTCAAGCCTAATTCCACTACGGACCTCCAAACCACAATCCGGACACGCTCCTAAGTCCAAAATCACCCAACGGAACTAACAGAACCATCAAAACTCCATTCCGGAGCCGTTTACACATAAGTCAATATCCGGTCAACTTTATTTTTCTAACTTAAGCTTCCAACCTAGAGATAAATGTCTCAATTCATTCTAAAACCTTACCGGACCCGAGCTAACTATCCCAACAAGTCACATAGCAGTTATAAAGTACAAAATGAGTAGTAAATGGCTGAACGGGGCTACAACTCACAAAACGACTGACCGGGTCGTTACACTATGTCTCTCAAATTTGAAATTAATTTTGTATTTAATCGTGAAGGAATAACATTTTAAGTTACAGTACGTATGAAGTTTATTAATTAATTTACTTTTAGGGAGGTAAAATGTGTAGTTTGATAATAGTTTTTAAAATTATAATTTCTTAATTATTTGAAAATTAAATATGATTGATTTGTATCTCATAACTTAACACTATTGCATTATTTATATTTATAAAAAGATGCTAGATATTTTGTTTTTTATGAGTTTCTTTAATACTTTTTAATTCTATTAAATTTTTTTATTTTAATATTTTTGTGCTATTATGCTATTTATTTAATTTATAAAATAAAAAATTTAAAGATCTATATGGCTTACGCTCCATGCCTCGGGGCTTTCGCCTCGTCCCATATTTAGAAAAATGTTCTGCCTCGCGCCCTCACCTTTTAAAACACTGGTAGATAGCTAACCATGAAAGCAACATCACGAACCTTCCTGTCAGCATAACTCTTCTGTCTAGACTGCGCCGCGCA